GGTAACGTTTTTTTGTCTTTGAACTCTATCTGCGGAACAAGAACCAGCTAATATAGCAGTCAATATAGTTTTGAGTTATGGCGTTTTAACAGTTCATCACATCATCACACATCAACAGCCTTAATAGTCCACTGCTGGACATAAGCCTCTCCTTAGGAGGTTTTGGCTGGTCAGATAGGTGGGTATAGGGTTTGTGTCAAGTTTTCCTTCTACCGCAGTGCTGTTGTTCTGCGTAGTTTTCTCCCTTAGTCGGTTCTTACGACACCCTCGGGATGAATAGGGGTGGTGACACTCTGTATTCTTAATCCGTCACCACACGGTCAGTAAGTATGCACATACTTAAACAATATAAAAATTCATTAATTCTAAAGAGGTGGACCGCACCGTAAGGATCCGGTGACTCGAGGTGTCTCTGCACAAATCTGAAGCCTTGATCTTTCATGAGCCTCCGTAATATAGTCGTAATATAGCTCGTCCGTGTGGTGACGGATTAAGAATACAGATTGTCACCACCCCTATTCATCCCGTGGGTGTCGTAAGAACCGACTAAGGGAAAATAAATAATTACGCAGAACAACAGCACTGTAGAGAGAAGGAAAATTTGACACAAACCCTATACCAACCCGTCTGACCAGCGTGGTATAGTGGGCCAAAACCTCCTTTCTAAGGAGAGGTCTATGTCCAGCAGTGGACTATTAAAGGCTGTTGATGATGATAATTCGGTTTTGTTCTTTATGTTTGTTACGTCAGAACTCCATTGTTTATGAATCGATTTGTATTTTTTTTAAGTGGTAGCTTCTTTGGCCATTTTTGAACAACAAACAAAAGAATATATTTTATTGGAAAAAAACATTGAACTCGCGACACTATTACCGTTACTGACACCTCTGTTGAAGTGAAAACTTCTTTCCGTTTGGGCATTTTTTGAGATGGGAAAAACAATTGCACTCGCTACACTGTTACCGTTACCGACACCTCTGTATATAAGTTTTACTTCTGTGGGCGGGAGGGCCACTGTTTTTTTTTATTTGGAGGAGTACACTTCAAACTTGAAAAAAAACGTATAGTTTATTATGATTCATCATCATAGGCGCATTGAAGTTTTAAAAAAGTTAATTATTATCACAGGTCCATCATCCACCCAACTATACATGGTGCGCACTCAGCTCGAAGCTCTTATCTCCGACAAGTCTGGAGGGCGGAGAACTCTTCGTAAGGACCTGGACGCTGGGACCCTGCAGCAGATAGAGACTTTCCATAGGCAGAGCTTCTATTGGGGCTACCTCTTGAACTTATCAGGTATGGTTTCTTTTAGGGGGCAAACGAGCACACGGGTCTGCTGATGGTAAGTGATCAACACCTCCCATGGACATCTGCAACTCAAGAGCTACAAGTGCCTCCCTCTCACTCACTTACTGAAATGCAACGAAACAAATAGTTTAACACCGGTTTCCTGTGAACCTGTCACCCTCAATCTCTGGTTTCGCCATCAAAATCTCTAAATATTAACCTAGATAATACGGATACTCAAATATAACTATTACTTAAGGAAATAACACAAAGAATAGATGTTACATTCCTTTCAGATGCCTAACGTTTTGATTAGATTGTACTGGACGTGGCCACAGACGCAATCATTTTTAAGATTTAGAAAATATAATAAACAAACTGTCCGTGTGGTGACGGATTAAGAATACAGAATGTCATCACCCCTATTCATCCCGTGGGTGTCGTAAGAACCGACTAAGGGAGCAAACTACGCAGCACAACAGCACTGCAAAGAGTATGGTATAGTAGTCCAAAACCTCCTTTCTAAGGAGAGGCCTATGTCTAGCAGTGGACTACCAAACGATGATGATGTGAATTGCCAAACCTCGAAATTAACTTTTATTTCTTTTATATAAAAACAGGTTTTTTTTTTCAAATAGAAACTAGATTTTTTTTTGTCAACAGATTCCTTACAAAAATGCTGTGATTTATCCCAGCTTTGGTACAGAGAGTTTTATCTCGAAATGACTATGGGCAGAAAGGTCAATGTAAGTATATCTAGTGAACACGTCTAGAAAACTATCATTACATAATCTATACTAACATAATAAAGCTAGATTTTGTTTGTATTGGTTTATTTGTTTTTTGATTAAAAATTCATGTTTATCATCGATTCTTCACAGAAATGCATGGTCCGCCACCAACACAACGAAGAATGCAGTGACCTGATCACCATGGAGAAGAGGATCCAGTTCCCCATTGAAATGTCCATGCCTTGGATCCTAACCGATCACATTCTGCGCACCAAGGAACCTGCCATGATGGAGTGAGTATTTTTAGTAGTAAATCTTGAAAGTGAAATTGTGGCTCGAAGGACCAAGAAGGATCACAATTTGAAATTACACATCTTTACATCACTTGGTGGTCCAATTATTTTTTACGAACCAGTATATCTTGAGCTATTATTGAGTTTTATACCAAGACGGTTCAACACATATACTGAACCCCTAGTATTGTTTCATTCTTTTTACTTAATTTTTCACCCTTAAGGGTGGAATTGCTTCTACAAATTTCAGTGGCATCAAACGGAAAGAATGTTTGAAATCTGTTCATTAATAAAGAAGTTGTAAGATAATTAAAAATACAGTTGGATATAGAACCTCCTTTTTTAAGTTGGTTAATAAACATAATTATTCCTAAAATGACATGTTTTCAGGCGCCATATTTTTTTAATAATAAGTACAAGGAATTTTCTTTACATAATTGACTGCACGGTTGGCGTAGTGGTTTAAGCGGTCGCCACGCCGCTTCCTATTACTGCCGAGTGTTGTGGGTTCAAACCCCACATGGGACGACACTTTGTGAGATCCACAAGGGTTGTTCTGAGTCTGGGTGTTCTTTGTGTCCGTTTCATGTATGTTTGTAAAGTCCCCCGCGACACAGGATATATTCCTAATGCGGGAGTTGTCTTTCTTTAGAAAATAATAATAATAATAATAATAATAATAGTAAATAAGGGGGAATGAGGGGCTCGTGGCTAAGTTGTAACCGAGTAGGTTGACACAATGCAAAGTTAAACAATCCTACCCAGGTCAGTCTATGAATGGGTGACCATTTCTTAGCAAACTGAGACCCTTACGTGCCTCGGAGAGGACGTTAAACCGTCGGTCCCGGTTGCCATACGCACATCTATGGCAATCGTGACTGCTAGTTGGAGACCCTAAAACGTCGGACAACAGTCTATCTACAGAACTTCGATATCGCCTAGTACTTGGGTTGTGGAGGTCTGATGGCAGTCGCTCCATATAAAATCGCCGACTTAGGACTTAAAGCCGACCCCAACATAGTTTGGAAAAAGGGTCGGAGGAAGAAAAAGAAAGATGAATAAATAGGGCCAAATAGGGCCAAAGGGATAAATATGTATTAAAATATACAAAATATGTACATAAAATATGAACCAAAAAATCAAAAATATGGAAAAATATGGAGTAAAAATAACAATATCTTTCATTTTAAACTTTGTTTACTGTAAATTGAATAGTTTTATTCAACGTTTATTACGTTACTTTTTTATATTGGTTGTATTACAAAATAACATGTTTCTTTAAATGATCAAAATTAAAATTCTGACGATTCAGTCTTGATATAACCTCAAATTGGCTGAATGATCTCTCTACGTCACATGATGTGAGTGGAGCATACATAAACATGCATATTAGGCTAGTTGACTCAATTTGAGAACAACAACAAAAAACCTATATTTTAAAGAAAAAGCAATATTTACATTACTTATTTTGTATTTAAAAAAACAATTTAAATTTCGATTGGAAACGCTGAATAGTGTCATGGCGTCTTGAATGACGTCACAGTCTGCGAAATAAAACTGTTTACATGTGTCCAGTGTCAACTGTTTTCTAAAAATGAATAAGGAGTAACCTGCTCTGTTGTATGAAAACGTCAACAACAACAATGATGTTTTGCGTGGCGTGACGTAACACTTTCTGATTGGTGTTCGCTGTCACGTGACTTAATGCCTATTTTGTTCGAATTTTTATTTTTATTGTTACTGAATAAATTAATGAAATTAAAGTTATTCTTTTTTATCAGATATAAATTGAAAATATGGATATAGTTATTTTTATAAAATATGGATTTAACCTTGAAATATGGAAAAATTAAATTTAGTTTTTCACTTATAATCCGTGTGGTGACGGATTAAGAATACGGAGTGTCACCACCCCAATTCATCCCGTGGGTGTCGTAAGAGCCGACTAAGTGAGCAAACTATGCAGTACAACAGCACTGCAAAAAGAAGGAAAACTTGAAACAAACCCTATACCAAACCCGTCTGGGCAGCGTGGTATAGTAGACCAAAACCTCCTTTCTAAGGAGAGGCTTATGTCCAGCAGTGGACTGTTAAAGGCTGTTGATGATTGATGACTATCCAAATACGACAATTGCTGTAGAGAATAAATTCCAGAACGAAAATCGTGGCAATTCAAATAATATATATTAACATATTTATCCTGGCCCTATTAATAAAGAAATGAAAATGGTGTCTTAACAAATATTCCTCTTCAACAGGTACGTCTTATACCCACTGGATTTGTACAACGACTCGGCGCAATACGCTCTCACTGTCTTCAAAAAAACAGTTATTGTACGACGAAGTCGAGGCTGAAGTCAACTTGTGTTTCGACCAGTTTGTCTACAAGTTGTCCGAACAAGTCTACTCGCATTATAAACAACTCGCTTCCAGGTGAGATTTGTTGACTGACCTGTTGAGTTAGCGGTTATTGATTCTGTTTGCTAAGTTAGAGGTCATGGGTGCATGATCATTTCACATCACATCACACATCAACAGCCTATGATAGTCCACTGCTGGACATAGGCCTCTCCTATGAAAGGAGGTTTGATCATTTCTTCTGGGTATAATCTATCTATATATATATAAGAGATTTCCACGTATATAGTCACTCACCACGATATCTCTGGCACCATTAGAGCTAAAGACTTGAAATTTGGTAGGAATATTCTTTTCACCGAGTAGAGGTCAGCTAAGAACGGATTTTAAGAAATTAAAAAAAATTATGTAAATAGCAAAACAACGTTTGCAGGGTCAGCTAGGTTTATCTATAAAATGTATGACTGCACGGATGGCGGAGTGGTTTAAGCAAGCGGTCACCTCACCGCTTACTACTACGCTGAGTGTTGTGGGTCCAATCCCTCATGGGACGACACTTTGTGTGATCCACAAATTGTTGTTCTGAGTCTGGGTGTTTTTTGTGTCCGTTCCATGTATCTTTGTAAAGTCCCCCGCGACACAGGATATATTCCTAATGCGGAAGTTGTCTATTTAAAGAAAAAAATTGTATGTATTTAGTAATATATTAGAATTTTTACCGTCAATCTGGTGATAATAACACAGGCTTGGTCTAATTTAGGATAAGAAGGTCCTACGTAAGATAGATGGATAGATAGGTACTCTTTATTGCACACCATAAATAGGATACATACGATGATACATACAAAAAAACAGTGATACAATGAGCGGCCTTATCGCAGTCTGCGATCGCTTCCAGGCAACCTTTAGTAGATGAGCTATACTATATAGTAATATGGAGCGTGTGCTGCGCATTTACAACTTCCGTAATGGGACGTATTGTCAAAAT